TAACTTAAAAAAACCAAAACAAATCAGATCTTATGGCCAAGTTAAGATTTTGCATATGTCAATAATCGGTTCTCTATTGTATTCGAATATGACAGGACAACTCATTTAGGTTTAAGGTTTTTATTGTTTTTCCAATAGTAGGGATGGATGTGGATCCCATTTTTGTCCAATGTCCGTCAAACCAAAAGCAAGCACGTATGGGGTAGGCAGGATAGCAAGATTCCTTCCTGCCTTCTGACTTCCAGCTCCCTGAGAGCAAGACTGGGGGCTTTGGGTTTTGTTTTTGGCCTTTCTCTGTATCCCCAGTGCTTAGCACAGTGCCTGACCCATAACAAATACGTGTTTCCTTCCTTCTCTTCCCTTCTTTCTTCCCTCCTCCTCCCTTCTTTTCCATCTTGCCTTCTTTTCCTGTTCCTGGCCTTCTCTCCCCTCCCTCCCAATTATTTCCCTTCCTTTCCTCTTTCCTTCCCTCTCCATCCATTCTTTTGCTCTCTTTCCTTTCCCTCCCTCACCACCTCATCTCTTCCCTCCTCTCCCCTTCCCTTTCTCTCCTCCCTCCCTTCCCCTCCCCATCCCATCCCTTCCTTGCCCTCCCACCCCCCAGACCGGGCAGGCCTGCCACCTGCCACAGCAGCCTCGCGCTCCGCCTCCACCTGCCCCACCCCCACCCCGCCCCATCCAGCTGTCGGCCCTCGCTGGCCCACGTGGCTCCCTGGCCTTGCCGCAGCCGCAGCCGCAGCCGCAGCAGCCACTGCAGCCACCACCGCAGCCCCAGCCGGGGGAGGGGAAGGCCCCCTGGAGGCTGGGAGGCGGGGGAGGGGGCGGTTCCCGGGGGATCGGGGCAGGCTGGCGGACAGCCCTCCGGCCTCTTCTCAGCCCGCCCGTCGGCCCAGCACCTGGCCACTGGCCAGCCCTGGAGTGGCCTGGGATCTCTGCCCTCGGCTCAGGGCCCGGGGCACGCGGGAACCTGGCACTTCCGGGCAGAATTGTCTCCCAAACTCGCATCCCGAGCCGTGCCGGGCGGCCCGCTGTGGGTGGGGCCCGGAGCCGCCAATCAGAGCAGGAGGCAGAGGCTTGAGGGGGCGGGGCGGATTCGCGCTCTCCTCCGCAACCAGCCGGCTTTGGAGCATCCCTTCTCCTGCGCGCCAGGCCCTGCCGCGGCTATCTATGCCAGCGTCTGTCCCGGGCGGATCCAGACCCGCCCAACCCGGTCCTCCCAGATCCCTGGACCTAGACCCATCTACCCCCAAACTCTTTAAACTAGAAGGAACCTCAGAGATCGTTCTGGAAAGCTAGCACCTCATTTTAGCCAAGAAGAAAAAAAGTATGGGGTGAGGATCCTTGCCCAGGGCCACATAGCCTTAGCAGCACGGGCCAGGATCCAAACCTTGCCCCTTTCCCACTACATCAAGCTGCTTGTCTCTAAAAATGTGCTGTCGGTGAGCTGCGTGTTCCATTGGAAGTGACCTGATCATTTCTTTCCGTGGAAGTCACACTCCATTGCTGTCCAAGGGATCCGTGAATAAATGAAATTTAAAAAACCAAAACGGTATTAAGCCCTTACTAAGTGCCAAACACTGCTAAGCACTAGGTAGAAAACTCCTGTGCTCGAGGAGCTTGCCTTCTAATAAAGGTAACACGTATAGGGAAGTGGTGGCCAGGGAATGCAGTTTGGGTCTGGGGAGGCGGGTATGGTGAGTTGATGGTACAGAAGTCATAGTATGAATGAATTGGCAAGCAAATAGCAACATAGCCTGGGTGCCTGGTTGGATGGCATACTATGGAGGCAAAGTTGGTCTGGTGCCTGAGGCCATCTAGGAAAGGGAGTGGGCTAAGTGGCCTAGTTTGGACTCACCCAGGCACCCATCATCTACAGCTGTGGGGTCCAAATACCATTTGCAGGAATACAATGGGATGAAAAGTAACAGAGGTTCCTGTCCAGGGAACCTGTTGGTTGGGACACTGATAGATACCGCCTCAGGGTTGGTTGGAAGGATCTGGATAAGTATTTATTGAGCACTCATTGAGGTGACTCGGTGGCACAGTAGATCAGGACTAGAGTCAGGGAGACCTGAGTTCAAATCTGGCTCAGACAATTCGAGACCCAGGATAAGTCACTTAACCCTGTTTGCCTCAGTTTCCTCATCTGTCAAATGAACTGGAGAAGGAAATGCCAGACTGTTCCAATATCTTTGCAAAGAAAATCCCAAATGGGATCATGAAAAGTCAGACATAACTGAAACAACTGAACCACTGGGCAGCTGGATGGCTCAGTGGATAGGGTGCTGGGCCTGGAGTAAGAAAGACCTGAGTTCAAATCCGGCCTTAGACACTTACTATCTGTGTGGCCCTGGGTAAGTTGATTAACCTCAGTTTGCCTTAATCCACTGGAGAAGGAAATGGCAAACCAGTCGAGTATCTTTGCCAAGAAAACCTTACGGACAGTACTGGCGTGCTGGGGGGGGGGGGGGGGGTCATGAAGAGTTAGAAGTGACTGAATAACAACAGCAAGTACCTACTAAGTGCCAGGCACTGTGCTAAGAGCTTTATAAATATCATCTCATTTGATAAACAATAGAGGAAAGGGCCCATAGACAAGTTTCTGGTCAGAGCTTGTAGACCACTGGTACCTTAGGAAGGGGATCTCTTGTCTATAGGAAGCAGGGCACAGACACAAGCTGAGCATGGCTCCCACTCACTCATGTGGCTTCCTTTGGAGCAAGAACTTGCTAAGTGTGCCTCTGATTTACAACTCGGGTCACTGGCTGTTAAGGCATCTCCCTAGCCTGAGGAGGAGTGGCTGGCTCTGACAGTTCTGTTCTTTCTTTCCACAAGGTCACACAGAAGAACTCTCCAGCTCTTCCCTGCTCCATAGTGAGCCTGCCTCCCTCATCTTTGTAGCCACTGAAGGATTTAATAAATGCACCTACTTGCACACTTCAAGCATTCTCGATTTCAGCCATGACAAGGTTTTGCTTCCAATGACACACATACAAATGCCTCCATCACTTAGTATATAGTTTAGTGAACTACTATAAGATAAAACAAATCATCACTGGGTAGCTAACCCTGTTCAAAATAAACTTATTAATGACAGATGACAGAAAGATAGATAGATAGATAGATAGATAGATAGATAGATAGATAGATAGATAGATAGATAGATATTGTCAAATCATTTCAGTTGTGTCCGACATTTCATGACCCCATTTGGGGTTTTCTTGGCAAAGATACAGAATGGTCTGGCATTTCCTTCTCCAGCTCATTTTACAGATGAGTAAATTGAGGCAAACAGGGTTAAATGACTTGCCCAGGATCATTCAGCTAGGAAGTATCTGAGGCCGGATTCAAACTCAGGAAGATGAGTCTTCCTGACTTCAGGCCCAGAACTCTATCCACTGTGCCACCTGTAAGAACATTTTACCAAGTGTTTACCATGTGCTAACTTTAAATGACAGATAAGATGTAATGTCTAACTTTCAGACCCATTTGCATTTTACCTTTCATTCATTCCACAAAATCTTTTTTTGAGCACCTAATATGGGCAAAGTATTATGCTAGGCACTAGCATCGTGATAAGAAGTAGACAAAGGACATAAGTGTAAGAATCTGCTCCTGCCCTCAAGCAACTTAGGCTTTAGGAGGATGGAGAAGATAAAAAAGCAAAAAGCCACAAGACAAGGCAGTATATTTGTTATATGAGTAACTGAAACAGAGCTCCAATAAAAGATGGGGGGAAGGAAAGCACTTGAGCTAGGGTGCTCATACTAGTTTTGAAAGGTGGTATTTGAGTTGAGCCTGGAAGGATGGGCAGGATTTCAATAAGTGGAGGTATTATAGGATGTGGGCACATCGTGATCAAATGCCTGGAAGCTAGAAAGCATAAGGCACAAGGAGGGGAGACTTGGGTAAACTTGTCTAACTACAGCAGAGGATTCTCAGGAGCAAAGGGAATTAAGGTTAGTAAGGCAGATGATGCCAGATTACGGAGAGCCTGGAATTGGAGCCTAAAGGGTTTGGACTTTATCCTGCAGATAATGAGAAGGCCCAGAAGGATTCTGAACTGGAAAATAACAAGGAATAAAGCTTTGTCTGGCAAAAGTCAGTGATCTCTTTAGCCCTGAGTGTCACCACTAAGCTAAGCAATATTTGTCAGGCCTAATGTAAAAGAAATAAAGGATAGATAAAGGAGAAATGAAGGAAAAGACAAAGAATTGAAGTGAGACAGACACAGGAGAGGAAGCCGAGGATGGGGACAAGCTAGGCAGCAATTTGTCTGAAAAAGGCCTCGGGGGTTAGGTTCAATATGAGTCAGCAGGTTGCCTTGGAAGCCCCCAAAAGCCAGTTGGATCATGGGAGTCTGGTGGCCAGAGTCTACCTGGCTCTCATCCAGACTCAGGCAGCCCTGATCATGAGGAGACTAGGTGATGAGACCTCAAAGGGACTGGGAAGGTTAAGTCTGGAGTAAAGAAGGTGTATGTTTGGGGGTGGGGAGGGGGAGGACCGGGGCAGGTGAAAGCTGTCTCCAAATAATGGAAAATCTGTGAGAAAGGCCTTACTTCTGCTTGACCCCCAAGGCCCAAACAAAGGGCAGTTCCTGGCAGGCCCAGGGGGGTAGAATAATTGTCTACCTATGAAAACTGTCTGAAAAGGATCTTGACCGTGTCATGAGGTAGTGAACTTAAAGTCCTCTGACCCCAGAGGTCAGGAGGGTGGCAGATCTCTGAAGTGCTGTCCATCTCTGATTTCTATGGTCCAACAACCCTAAGTGCATCCTTTGAAAATGACAGAGAAAGGGATCTCAGCAGTGGCCTCAGGTGCACTCAGCAGCTCTCCCCCATTCCCCTTGCCCTTGCCCACCCAGACTCAGGGCTGGCATTCTGTCCAGGCTCTCACGGTGGGTGGGGCATTAGGACCCAGCACTGGAGGTAGTGGAATCTCCAGCTCCCGTGTTTCTCCCTGGCTCCCTCCTCTCTTTGTCATCCTCCCTAGCAGCCTAGCAGACTGCTGCTTGCTGCTCCTGCTGTCTGGGCAGCTTTCCTCCTGCCTCCACCCCTTCGGTGGTTACTGCCTGGCTCGGGGCCAGCCAGGGAGCCCAAAGAGAAAGGAGCCGGGAGGATCTGCCCCTCCTGTCCCAATGGCCTCCCCCAGGACGGTCACCATCGTGGCCCTCTCCGTGGCCCTGGGGCTCTTCTTTGTCTTCATGGGGACCATCAAGTTGACCCCCAGGCTCAGCAAGGATGCCTACAGCGAGATGGTAAATGCAGGCGTTGGGGGCTAATGAGGGGCATGCCGTTTGGCGTGGGGGGGGGGTGCTGGGGGTACCGTGTTCCTCTGATATTCTCATCCCCATCGCTTAAATGTCACCTTCTTCCCTTCTCCCCAACAACTTTGCAGCAGCAATAGCCAGGCAAGGGAAATTTCATCTGGGAGCTCCTCCGGAGGGCTTGAATGCTGCGGGGGGGAGGGGCCGCCAAACCCCGGTCCTGGGCCGATGCTCTGACCTGTGAAGTAGCTGGCTCCGCTCGGGAGTCCCGGCTGGGGCCCAAGAGCCCCTTATTCCGAAACCAGAGAGCCTGGGGAACCAGTAAGGAAAGCTCCTCCTTGAGGGATGGAGCCGAGAGTTCCTTCAGGAGGAAGGAGGCCAGCAGCCCCGAGCTCTGCTACTTCAGGGTTAGGATGGGGCCAGCCACTGGTCCCCAGAGCAAATGGGGTCAGTGGCCTTTGGCGGCAGGCCGGGGAAAGGCCCCTAGCCGCTGGCTCTGGGGCTGCCTTGGCCTGTCCGAGAGCCCACTGAGCTGCTTGGGATGCTGGGTCTCAAGGGGCTGGAGGCTAATTTGCAAAGCCTGCTTCTCGTCTCATTGCTCTCACAGCCAGGCATTGCCTTTCTTCTTGTGGGTGCGCAAGGACAGGTCTTTTGCGGGTTTTGCCTGCTCTGTATGTCTGGAATGAGCAAAGGGGCCAGACTGGCCAGTGTCTGTCACCCCTCAGCCCCCACCTTGGCTGTTGGGTTGCTCTTCCTGGAAAGGAGTGAGGAGGACCTGCATGGATTCCTCAGCGCACCAGGAAATGCCGGTGGAAGTTTCTAGTATTTTCTGTCTCTTTCTCACAGCACCTGTCAATTAGCCCCCTGCTCAACCCACTCGGGCTGACTGTACCCTGCATCTGACAGCCGTGGTTTGACTGTTACAACCAGAGCCCCACCTCCCCAGGGGTGGGGTGGGGGAGTGCAGCTTAGACTAAGAGCTGGAGAAAGGGAGAAAAAAGGTGGAAGCAGAGACTGAACTGGAGATTTTTTTCACCTGGGGCAAAAACAGTGGGGGAGGGGGAGACGACGACACATAAAAGATGGCCAAGTGTAGTTACAGTGCATCCTCCCCTCCACTGTTCTCCGGCTCACAGCCCCCACTCCCTTGCCCTCTCCTGGGGCCCAGCTTCCCCAGCCAATGGGGAAGGGACAACAGTCTCTAGACTGCCAGAAGTAAGAAGTGTACCCCACCCCCAATATTGGTGCCTGAGCAAAGCCCTGGTTGCTGCCCTGCCCTAGTTATGGCTCTGGGTGGGGGGGTTTCACTACTGACACTGGGGCTGAGAATTTCTCCACATACATAGGGGGAGGCCTTTTGGGAGACTATGCACATCCTTTGGGGCCACCTGAGAAGCCCCTGGGAATGAATGCCACTAAGGGATTTGAGGGCATTCGATAACAGTTTTGCATTTTTGTAATAAAACTAAATCAAACCTGAGCCCATCCTGTTCCAGGGTTTGGCCTGAGGTTTGCCTCTCTGGGGGGGGGGGGGCAAGCAACCCTTGGGGAGCGGGGTGGAGGGTGGGGCAGGGATCAGGCTCATGGCCATCTCTAGTGGTGTCTGGGGTTCCAGACCATGTCTAGCAGGCAAAGAACTGGGTAAATCACTAGGAATCTCCTCGCTCCCAACTCAATCTTTATACAAGTGAATGACCATTAGCAAGAAGCCAAGGAGCTCATTTATATGAGTGATTTCTACAGTCCTATGGTTGAAGATTTACAAAGCACCTGCCCCCTGCCAACCTCTGAAGCAGGGAACACAGGTATTATCATCCCCATTTTGGAGATGAAACTGAGGCCCAGAGAGATCCCGAGACTTGACCACAGTCAAATTCTATAACTAGTAAGTGCCATGATCACACAGCTAGTCAGGCAATGGGCATCATGATTTCATCAGACTGGCCCATGCCCTTGGATCCCACCAGTAGCACCTGGCCTTGCTACCATCTTCAGGACATTTCTTTTTTAAATTGAAAGTGCTTGGTTGGTGAGCGCCTTCCCCATTCACACTGGTCTCTTCAGACAGATCCTAATTTCCCTCCTCAATGGAACTGCTTCCTTTTATGTCTTCAGAATTCCTTCTTGAGCATTTCCCAGCCCTCCAGGGCTGACTGCCATGGGATCCCACCCATCTTTCCTCCAAACCCTTTGAAGTTGGCCTTCCCCAAATCGAGGGTGTTGGATGTCAGACTGTGTCTGGATTTCCTTCCTTTCCTGATCCCTAAAGAGAGCCCTTGGTTATATACCCAGCACTGCAGCTTACTAGTTGTGTGCCTAGGCCAACCTCGGTGCCTCAGTTTCCTCCCTTCTGTCTACCTCACAAGGCTGTTGTATGGATCAACTTAGAGAGGGGATATGAAAGTGCTTTAAAAACTGTCAAGCACCAAACAACTGGAAGGTGTTATTGTTAGAAACGTGGCCGGAAAGCCCCTTTTGCTGGCTTTCCCAGGCAGAGCCCTCAGGGCACTCCAGAGAGCTTCTTTCTGAGGCATCCAGACCAGCAGAGCTGGAAGGGGGTTCAGAGGGCCATCTAGTGCAACAAGCCTTTCATTAGACAACCTAACTGGAGACCAGGGCAGTCTGAAGGAGTGAAAAATTGAAATGATCTACTACTGGAAAAGGCCTGCAAGTTTATTATTTTCAAACACAAACAGTAATTAGAAATAGGCTAACCAAAGTGTTGCCTAGTAGAGGTTTTTAGGCATTTACTTAAAAGAATACAGGCATGCTTTGCAGCTGGCATTTTTTTTTGTGATATAAACTAAATTTATAAAGGATTGAATGAGATAAGATATAGCGTGCTTTGTAACCCTTAAAGCACTATATGAATGCTAGCTATTAACAATAACAACAACAACAAAAACAACAAAGATGTGTTTGTAGATGCTTGGAAAGCTTATTCTCTTGAGCAGTTTAAACGTTTCTCAGACAATCTCATTTACACTATTTGTTTAGCAAACACTTTCTGTCTTCATGGATACTACCAAGGTAAATTTCAACAAAGTCCTCGTCTGAATTATTACAAGTTCCACGTCAGGGAATTCCTAATAATAATAATAATAATTACATGCTGCAACTCCTTTATTGTTTTCTTTCATTTTAATTTTCAGGAGAATCAGTGTTGTAAGAAATTCCAATGGAGTGTGAATTTGGCAGTTGGCAGGGTGACACATTTTGCAGACTAAGTAGAACTTTTAGGGGTCATAAGAAGATATATTTCAAGATGGAACGGACCTCAGAAGCCACCAGATCTAACCCCCTTGTTTTGCATTTGAGGAAACTGAGGCCCAGAAAGGTGAAATTACTTGCCTAAAGGTCACACAGGTTGTAAGTGGCAGAGTCAGAATTTGAACTCAGAACTTCAGACTAACTTGCTGCCTCCCTGAAAATTGTTTACAGGGATCAGTTTAATGAATGGTAATCAGGTATCCTATACCATAGTACCAGACCCTCTGCTTTGCCCATTCCTGTATCAGAAAGGATTTCAGAATCCTTAGGCAGCGTGCATGCACACACACGTGCGCGCACACACATACACACATGCAAATGCATGCCCACCTATACATACTAGCCCTGTGATTCCATCAGTATAAGAGACTTCTGCAGTGAGAATTCCCTTTACTGATTTGGAAGTTGGTTTGCACCTTATAGTCTAAGGGACCTGTCTGGGGCACTGCCTTCTTCACCACGGTCACACAGTCTGTGTATGTCAAAGGCAGGACTCTGACACCAGGTATTCCCAGGTATTCCTGACTCCAAGACTAATCTTCTGTCCACTCTGCTACACTCTCATCTAGCAGTTTATCAGCGATGTAATTTTAGTTACAGTGCTCTTATTTGGAGGGCACAGTGGGAAGATGGAAAATATGTACTAGGCTTGTATGAAAGGGGATCGATGGGGAAGAAGGCATTTATTTCTATGGCAGTTTTTTCCATTCGCATGTCACAGGCCAGGTTTGATACAATGGCTGCCTTCTGATATTCCCATTCCAGAAACGTGCCTACAAGAGTTATGTCCGGGCCCTGCCACTGCTAAAGAAAATGGGTGTGACTTCCATTGCCCTTCGAAAAAGCATCGGGACCCTCGAAGTGATCTGTGGCATCATCATGACCGTGGTCCCCGGCCGGCCCAAAGACGTCGCCAATTTCTTCTTGCTCTTACTGGTCTTGGTTGTCCTCTTCTTCCACCAGCTGGTTGGCGACCCCCTCAAGCGCTATGCCCACGCCCTGGTCTTTGGGATCTTGCTCACCTGCCGCCTGCTGATTGCCCGCCAGCCTGAGGAACAGTTTATTGAGAGGAAGGCCTCCTCCAGGGGTGGTGAGGGGCAGGCCGCTCCCCACAAGAAGGTCAAGGTCAAAGTGTCATAAGGAAGCAGCCCTACACGGTGGACCTTCCAGGCAGCTTCCTCTGAGTAGCCCAGGAAGATCTCAGTGCATTCTGTTCCTTTTTATTTCTTAATTGATTGCTTTTCTGGGAAAGGGGGACCTACTATTCCACGTAACAGTCCTGATGTTTGTGTTCCCCTATGCCCTAAAATTAGCTCCTGACTCAGCCACAGAACCACCTTTTATCACTCCTACATCTGGCTGCATGTACATGTGTGTAAGATTACTTCTCAGGTGTTTGTGTGGCATAAATCCCAGCAAATACTGTTTGTGGGGGAAGTGTGTATGTGGAGATGTGTGCTTGATTTGTGAGTGTAGAGATGTGAGTGCAGGAGGTGGTGGCTTTGGTCTCCTCTTCAGAGAATCCTCACTTTATGTACGCTCTAGGTACATTCTAGCAAAGGTGAAGACAGATTGAGATGGCTGCCCCTACAGGATGGCTGACGGGCCCATGCAGCAACTGCCCAATTTGGCTGACTCTGGGTTCTTTCTTCTGCCACCCGTCCCTGTTCCCTAGCTCCCCGGCCAACTCCTGTAGCTGGACATCCCCCGATATTACAACTGGACCTCAGAGGGTTTGATCCTTCCCTTTGGGCATCAATATCACATTTTTCCAGCAGGTGTTTCTAACTAATCTTGCCCCATATGCCAGTCCATAAATTTGGGGTGTCGGATGACGTAGAATTAACCAACCTCCTCCCTCATCCACTGTGTAAACTGGAAAGCCCAGATACTGAGTTAACTTAGAACAAGGGGTACCTGCAATCAACAGAAAATTGAATCCTGTTGTAATGGAGAAATTCGAGGTTCATAGATTCAGAGCTGGGAGGAATGTTAGTCATCCTCCATTCTAAGCCCCTTATTGGACAGATGAGGAAACCATGAGGAGAATCAAAAGACTTGCCCAAGGTTACACAGCTAGTAAGTTCTTTGGATCCAAACTCCATTCCTTTCATTGTACCCCTTTGCCCCAGTTCGAGCCCCCCAGGCCTGAATGCCTACAGAGTCGCCAACCCGAGCAGTCAACTTTTCTCTAGACACTGGTATCTGACTTTGCTAATCTCAAAGCTGCCTTGCTTCAAGCTTGCTCAGCCACCAATCAGGATTTCACTTCTGCTCTGCTCTTCTTGCTGAGGGAGCAGGAGGGGGGGCCTGTTCCATGTCTGTGCACCCCAAGCCCCAGCTGTGCTTCTCCCCAACTCATCTCCAAAGTGCCCAAGCGAAGCTATAACTTCTTGCCAAACAGAAGCTCCCCTTTTACTGATTTTGCACTGAGGTTACACTGGGTCCAGGTTTGCTACTAGGAGCAGCGTCCTGACCCATCCCTACATCTGTATCTCTCTTCATTAGAGGGGGAGTGTGTGAAAAGATGACGGTTGAGCTGAGCAGGCCGTGGAATTGTTTCCTTTGATAGGAACTGCTGGTTTGCTGGATGTTGGTCAACCAGTTTTGTCTTCGATGGTTTGCGGGTTGTTGTGCCAGGGAAGGAGAAGAATGGGATTGTCATTTTGGAAAAAAGTGTCACCATTCTTGGTAAATGGCTTCCTCCTCTCTCCCCTTTTTGTCTCATTCTTTCCAAATAAACTTTTAGAAATTTGAAGGAGACTGTCTGGGCTAATATTCAATTTCTGGAAGAAATAGCCTTCCCAAAGGCTTCCAGGTCCTTCGTGAAACTCCTGTAAGGAGGAAGGAGCATCATTTCATACCATGACGAGGTTATATCATTTCCCTCCATTAGCTTTTCTTGCCAACTGAAAATTTCAGTCTGTCACCTTGAAGAAGACTGTCCAACCATTACAAAAGTATTCAGACATTCCAGAGATAAAATGTGGCAAAGCAGCTGAGGAGGCAAAAGAACAACATTGGGGGGATGGGGGGGTCCAGTCAATCAGAAGGCAAAAAAAAAAGGCCCTGCTCTTAAGGAACTCACACTCTAGCGTGAGGGATGACATGTATGTAATTAGATACACATATGGGAAACATTGTGAGCCAGGAGGGCTGCTTTTCCCTCTCAGGGTTCCGTGGGTATCCTGAGGGGCTCCAGGTCACCTCTTCTCTACGTCCACCCTGGATGAGCCCCCACACATAACACAGTCTTGTGGCCTAACTCTCCTGGAGTGAGGCCAGCTACATCTTCCCCTCAGGATTCTTGGGACACCCTGAAAGGTTTAGGGATATCTGTGCTGCCAATGGCTCAAGCTCCCACCGGTTGTCCCCTCCCCCACACTCTGTTAGGTACCAGAGAATAGTGCTCTAGTTTCATTTAAATGACTGACATCAACTAGCTTTTACAAAATGACATTTACTTTAAAGATACACAGTACCAAAAGTACAAACATTTGCCTGGTAGGGATATATTTTCTCCTATCCCACTTTGTCCTTTGAGGAGAGTGGGCTCAAACTTAGCTCAGCTCCTATATAACAGCACCATCAAATTCATGTCCACATAGACCAGAGGTGGGGAACCTACGGCCTCCAGGCCACATGTGGCCCATTCACAGAACGGTTTGTTCTGTGTTTGGACTCAGTCAAAGGGCCATACCTGAGGACCTAGAGGGCCACGTGTGGCCTGGAGGCCGTAGGTTCCCCACCCCTGACGTAGACTATGACTTTGGGACGAGTCCTTGTTTCAGATAGCACCGGGCTAAGTTCTAAAGGTCACTTCTTGACCAAAGGTCCCTTTTTGTTCCTTGAGGCCACATGAAAATGGAAAGGTAGGAAAGAGCCATGTTATAAAGAGCTTTGAATGCCAACCAGAGCACTTTATATTTGATCCTGGTGATAATACAGAGGCACTAGAATTTGTTGAGTAGGGGATGATGGGATCACTTCTGATTTATAAAAATCACTTTGGCTGGCAAGTGGAGGATGGGTTGGAATGGGGGCAAGAGTTGAGGCAGGGAGCCAAATTAGGAGACTGCTGCCATAGTCCTGGAGAGGGCCTGAACTATGGTACTCGCTGTGTGAATATACAGAAGGGAACGAATAAGACAGACATGATGAGATCTGGCAACAACTGGATACATGGGGTAAGAACGAGGAAGAAAGGGTGACGCTAAGGTTGTGAGCCCAGATGGCTGGGAGATCAGCTGAGCCCTCAATGGAAAAAGGGGAGCGTTTGGGAGGAAATCGAATGAGTTCTGTTTTAGACATCTTGAGGTTGAGATGCTTAGGATACATCTAGCTTCAAGAGGTTCCAAAGGCAGTTGGTGACACGGGACTGGAACTCAGCAAAGAGACTAAGACTGGCTATACAGATCTGAGACTCACCTGCAGAGAGATGATCATTAAATCCATGAAAGCTCATGGGTCACTAAGTGAGGTAGTATAGACTTGGGGTTCATGAGGGTCTGTATATAGACTTAAGGAAACAAGCAACACACATTTTCTAAGTGCTTCCTATGTGCCAGGCACTGTGCTAAGCTCCGGAGATACAAACATGAGCAAAAGGAAAGCTGGTCCCTTTCCCTGAGGTAGTTTACATTCTAGTGGGGGAAGATAATGCCTAAAAGCAGGTGGGGGAGGGAGCGAGGGAGGGAAGCACCCATGTGGGGCCCTGGCAACCAAGTCTGGAGCTAGAAGCACAGCTGGAAGAGAATAAAGCATGTCCAGCCTGGGCCTCTCCCCAGAATGGAGGCCCCTGGAAAGAACTCACTTTGGAGAATGAGTGCCACCACGGTGGAAGGAACGTTCCAGGGCGAGAAGGTCCCAGGTGTTGAGGGAAGTTCCAAGGTGAGAAAGGAAGTGAATTACTGTGACAAAGTCCAGAGAGTTAGAAGCACAGGTATGAGGGAAAAATGATTGGAGGAGCTAATGATCTGGCTACCTGATGGACTCAAGAAGTCTGCTCAGGGAAAGACTAAATTCAACTCTTTCCTCCCAGATTCCTAATCCAAACAAAGATTCAATTGGAGCCCGAGGTTCAAATTGCACAAGTCCCTGCTGAAGAGGCCAAGGCCCATCCTGGTGCACCGCCTCCTCCAGGGCTGCTTTCACAACTCTCACTCACATTAGCAGGCTGGGTCCCCTACTTCTCTGTTCCTCACAAGGCCTCACTGGTGTGTTTTCCATTTATTATCAGCCAGTAGCCATAATTAGCTTTTAGGAAAAGGATTTACTGAGATAGCAAGAGCAGTTGGTACAAAGAACTAAAGTCTGGGGCCCACTCTCCCATAAATGTACGACTCTCATGGCCGAGTTGTGGACAGGTTTGGAAATCCAATGGTGGTGAAGTGCACACAGAGAGAACACATGAGGCCATGGGGTAGTTGGAGTTCCTTAGATTTCTCCCTCTGTGAAGTTCCCCTTAGTTGTAGCTCTTCGCTGGGCTCTTAGCCCTTTGAGGTACTCTTGGGGAGTCTTGGGCCAATTTTCCTCACTGCGTCTGTTTTGCTCTAGGCACATCTTGCGGTTCCTGATATGGCTGTTGCCACCAGTCAGCGCCGCTCAGGAACATTGCTCTAGTAGACACTGCTGCTGAGGCCACTCGGTCTTCAGAGCTTTGTAACTTCCCAAGATTGTCACATCTAGGCTCCTCCCCCTCCTCCTGGCTGCCCCCTCATACAGGTGTGAGGGTTAGCCTCCTTAAGGCGCTCCTGAAGCTTGACTCATTTAAAGGCTCTAGCACACAGAAGCCCTGATTCTGTCTGATTCTTTCAGCCAGTCACAAAATATTTCCTGTGTGGCATCATCTGAATTCATCCAATGATCCTAATGCTTCGCACTTCTCAGACTGATCAAGGACCCTCGATTTCAAGCTGTGAGAGACCTACCGCACAGGAGGAAACTGAGTCCCACAGAGGAGCAGTGACTTATTCAAGGTCATAGAGGTAAGATGAGGCAGAGCCAGCATTCAAAACCAAGTCCTGATTCCAAACCTAGCACTCCTTCCCCTCCTCAGGACACTTTTCCTCTTTCTCCCAACAGCTGGTCTGGATCCCAACTCACTTTTTTGGTCCCTATACATCACCTTCCTATCCCCCCCACCCATGTTATAAAGCTGTATTTACTGAGAGCCAGTTACTTGCAAGCTGCTATAGAACAGACGTTCCCAGGTCTTAGCCCCGCTTAGTGGGTGCCCATGCCCAGAAGGTTGGCAGATCCAGCCTCCACTTCCTTTGGTTTGGTTCAGTGATTATTTACACAGTGCCTACTAGTACCTTCCATGTAGGTGCTGGGCTCTGGGAATAAAAAGGCATATACCGAATAGCCCTTGACCTAAAGGGGCTTGCATTGGAATGGAGGCAAACAATATGTACGGCGATGAATAAATACAAAATATAGAAAAATAAATACAGCACAATCGGAGGGCAGGGGATGCACTAAGATTGGGGGGGGGGGGTCAAGAAAAGCTTCATATAAATATGATATATGTGGCCACGTGGATTGTCTAAATATGAAGACACGGGGGGCCTCACATGCATGTGATCTGAGCTTTGACGCATCTCTTAGGAGAGGAGGAGTTTCAAGAGCCATGCCTGCCCAGCTGAATGCTACCTAGAGGTTGGGGGGCAGTGCCCTGGAGCGTCTCTCCTGGGTGTTCTTTCCTTCGCTTTCCGAGAGGATTGGGCTACAATCATATCTATCTTCCTCTTTCAAATATTGGAAATCTAGGGGATAATAGGTTCAGAATAAAATGGCTTACATTCACCAGCAGAGTTTCTTCCCACCAAACAATGGCTCCACAACAGACCATCACAAACAGTGAATATGAATAAAGTAGTTTATCCAAGCAAAACAATAGATAGAAATCAGAGAAATTCTGCAGATGAGAATATATGCATAACACTGAATGAGTCCTTCAGCTGGGAATAAGATAAGATCTCAGCTCAAATCAAGAGAAACCACCACACCCCAGAGAAGGGCCATGCTCAGCAGGCTCTGGAATTTCAAGCCAGTGGGGGGACATGATGAGGTCAGCTTCCCATGTACGTGTGCCACTCTAAAGTTGGACTCTCTCTCCACCATTTACTGCCAAGAATATCCCTAGAGGGCAGCTAGGCAGCGCAGTGGATAGAGCACTGGCCCTGAAGTCAGGAGGACCTGAGTTCAAATCCGGCCTCAGACCAAACACTTGACAATTACTAGCTGTGTGACCCTGGGCAAGTCACTTAACCCCAATTGCCTTAAAAAAAAAAAAAAAAAAGAACATCCCTGGAGCCAGCTCACTAAGTCCCTTAAATGGGTCCAAAGCATGGCGGTATGCTTGAAGCTTTAGCCAAAGCCAGATTACATAAAGATGATATTTTTTAAATTCACTTTTATTTTATTTTCATTTCCAGATTCTCTCCCTCCCCGGATCCCTTCCCACCCATCGAGAAGGTGAACTGGACGCCCGAGAGAAATCAGAGCATCACACCCAATTGACTT